TTTGAAAATGTATGCCACTTTATGTGTTACAGGACCCCCGGGCAGGATTTCCTGTAAAAAGGTGGAGAGCGATCCGAGTAGATGGGTTTAGATGCAAGAGATGAAAAAAGATTTTTCGTAGATTGATCCGCTAGTGTGAGATTTTTCGACCATTTAAAATCGAGATTTAGATGTGTCGCACCCCTCGTTTGCCTCTAACTTTTTTCATCAACAGAATACCGTAAAATGATGTATGAAGCTTTTGTAGCTTTTGATATTAACTACAACTTATATTAGTAACTAAAATCTGAATCTCTTATGCATGATGAAATAGAGCTGGCAGAACATGTTATTGTTTTTCAGTGAATGCAATTTACATTCACTGAAAAACAATGGTGGGTTCTTATCGCTCTGATTCATCATGCATAAGAGATACAGATTTAAGTTGTTTACAAAAGATGTAGCTAATATCAAAGCCTATTTTACGGAATTCTATTGATGAAAAAAGTTAGAGGCAAATGAATGTAAATGAATGCACGAAATGATTTTCCATCCCTGCCTCCGGGGGCATCCTGGTAGTTCCAAGAGCAGCCAATGTGGGTAATAGTCCAATTCAAGTCTATCCAGTATTTTGCGATTGTTAATGGCCGTCGTGAGTGCCTATGAGTACCCATGTTTTGACATTCAAGGAGGAGTAATTATCAATATTATTCACTTTTCATATTGTGTACATTTCCTCAAATTTCTGTTGATTTTGATTGTCATTTACGCTGTTTAAAGTGGTTGCAATGCCAGCATGGTTTTAAAAATATAAATATTAAGTTGATTGCATAAAATGACAAGTGGCGTTTGCTTCAGGCATCAGGTTTACTCGATCCTTATGGGAGATAACATTGCGGCGTTTCACTCGATACGGCCATTCCTTTCACAAACCAAAGGCCCCGGGGAATTTTGTGCAAACGCGTGTTTGAGAAAAATCGGAATGCCGCGCGGTGTATCAAATCGACGGAATCCTACAATATTGCCTCCGTGTATAATGTTAAAAGTACACACATTAGAATTCACTTGGCAGCCATTATCGTGCGCAAATTACGGGATAACGTCTTCAAAATGCAATTTTCTCCTACTCAAGGTTTCCCGGAGGGCATTACGGCGGCCAATGTGATTAATGATCCAATTCAACTTTATAGAAAGCCTACTGATGCAAAACCATGAAGAAAGAGCTGTCGCACGGCATGTTTTGGTGTAAAAATGCAACTGTCCCCTACTACAGGTGCCCTGAGGGTACTCCGGTGGTTCCGGAAGTGATCCATTTAAAGTCTATAGAAAGCCTACGGATGAAAAAACCACGAAGAAAGAGGTGTTGTACGGCATGTTTTGGTGTAATAATGCAATTGTTCCCTACTGCAGGTTCCCCGTGGGTACTTCGGTGGTTCCAGAAGTGGCAAATGTAGTCAATAATCGATTTAAAGTCTTTAGAAATCGTACTGATGAAAAACCATGAAGAAAGAGGTGTCACACGGCATGATTTTTGTAAAAATGTCCCCTACTACAGGTTACCCCGAGGGCACTCCGGTGGTTCCGGAAGTGGCCAATGTAGTCAATTATCCATTTAAAGTCTAAAGAAAACCTATTGGTAACAAAAACCATGAAGAAAGAGGTGACATACGACATGTTTTAGTGTAAAAACGAATTTGTCACCTAGTACAGGTTCTCCCGGGGGCTCCGGAAGTGACCAAAGTGGTCAATGATCCATTCAAAGTCTATAAAAAGCCTATTGGTAAAAATACTATGAAGAAAGAGGTGTCACATGGCATGTTTTGAGTGAATGAAAGAACTGACCGCACTCAGAACCCTCTGAGCCGATTTTAGCTCTTGGTGCGTCATTTGCTTTGAAAATGGTTCTATTTTTGGCGTATGAATAAAAAACACAGATTAGTAACGGAAACCCTGAGAAAAACTCGTCACAAATTTAGCAATTTAGACATCCCTAGATCCCTAATAAACAAATACCATAAACGAACGATAACCCAAATAGTCAAACTTTTCCACAAATGGTTTGGATGATACACCGAACACGTCGTTAATCAAAATAACCATAATATTTTTATTCGGGATGCCCTCAGGAAACCCGGAATATCTCCGGTATCCGGTAACCATATTCACTTCCATTGCCCCATCAAAAAACTTGCATTGTTTTCCAGTCGAATGCTTCTTGAAGATTAAAAATCGATCAATATTCAACAAAGTTACAACAGTCCAAAATTGGACAAAATTTTGCTAGTACCCTATATTTTTCACAACCCCTGTAATTGTTGTGGTGATGGTGAATAACGTTGTTGCAGCGAGTGAAGGATGTTACCAACCAGTGGAAACTAACGATTTTAAATTGGCTCACTACTTGACTAGCCTATCTTGGTTGCAAGCAAATCGATTAACGTACCCCTAGTCGAAATTCTAGTACTAAACTAGGGTTACGGTATGTAATGTGGGTCTAGTCCTTTCATTCGGCCTATCACGCAAATAAATAATTAATTAAGGAATATTACACAAAAAATAAGGAAAATATTGATCACTGATGATTGATAAATGTGTACCACACACAAATCAATTTATATCACAACATTTCAATACATTTTCAGCTCTCGTAAGTAATAAAACTGGTTGAGAATATCACTCTGTTCGGAGTTTTTAGCCGCCATGACTTCTAAGGTTAAGATGGGAAGGTTGCACTGACGATCATCAAATGGCCTGATTATGGCATTTATTGAATGGAATTACCTGATAATACACACTAGACGTAAAACTCACAGTTACTGTTTGAATATTTTATGTTTATTTTAATTGTTTAACAACGTTTTCACAAGTAAATCATGGACCCAACTTTAGGGACACATTTCTTTTCTATGTTCCTAACTTTGGCCCATGAAATTCATTTGACAGCATATAGCAATAAGAGTAACGTCAACAATGTGGTTTGCATTTGGATGATAAGGAACGAACAGGAAGGGAGATTTTTTCTGCCAAATCTGTATAATGAACATCACAATGTTTTGATTTAGATATTCTGCGGTCGAAAGACGATAAGCGAAATTTTTAATTTTTAATTTTTAACTTGAGTGATTTAATGTAGTTTTCGTAAAATTTTCTCTAAGAAATGTTTTGAGGAATGAAGAGTATTAAGTTAACAGTGATAGTGATAAAAAAAAATACATAAGAAAACGTTACCAAGAGCGTTTTTTTTGAGAATCAAACAGGATATGACGAAGTTGCATCCATAAATAGACCCAATTTGGGGACAATAGACCGATATTACATACATTTCCCTGGTGAGTTTTTGTCTTAAAAAAAGTAAGTTTTTCAACTTTTTGCGGTTCCTGATAGCAAACGACATGATAAGCATATCTAAGCATACCATTTAGCAGTAGAATATCGTTTGCAGGTAAATTAATTGATGAGTTATGATTAAAAACGTAATCTATGGCTGCATATTAGACCGAGGTTAGGGACGTATACCCTATGTTTGTTTTGATTTGCTATGAAAGTTTGACAGATAAAATGAAGGGTTCGTGGATTTTCCTATGTTTCGAGGGGTGCATCGATTAGCTTGGGACCGAAGAGAGTACCAGAACTGACCGACTTCGGTAATTCATTTACCGAATTCTCAACAGCTGAACGGTCGGTAATGTTTTCGGTAATCGAGAAATTAACGAAAAATCTGTAAACTGGATCAGCAAAATTAGCTGTCATATTTACCGAACGATCGGTAACGTTTACCGATGTGCATTGCTTGATTTATAGTCGACTATACCGGAGAACTGTAATTTTGAGGACGATATGCAAATCGAAAATTACTGAGAGATCTGTAATTTTTTAAAAAGGTAACCGACTCAACTGTAATTTGCTTTAATATTGTTTCAAGGTGGCGGTCACTGCAACCCCTGTAAAAATTTGGCTGCAGTCGTCTTTTGTCGGAAGGATTCGGCGCTACACTGAAAACAGGGAAGCATTGGATGAAGATTCCAAATGCTGTTTTCAGATCGTCGCTAACGGGAATGGAACTTGGACCGACAGAAAAAGCAAGCAACAACATCGGCCATCTGTAATCGGTATTTATTTAGATAACGAAAATTAATTACTTACGGAAAATATCTACGATTGGCTCAACAGATTGGCATAACAGCCTCCATAATTTCACCTTTTTATTTTTCACAAAGACGAATGTTTTCAAAGTCGATCGAAAATCACAATATGGTGGATTTGACGTTTACCGAGACCGTTACCGAACTCAGAAATTGAACGCTTTGTTTACCGAAACTTCAGTAAAATATTTCATCGAAGTCAGTGATACAAAAATGTTTACCATTTTCGTTAAATTAAAAAGAAATTACCGAAATTCGGTCATTCCATCCTCTTCCGGTTCTACCAACTTAAGTTTGCCTTCCTCCTCGACAGCAATAGAAAGCACACAAGGACCAGACCACCATTCTTCACTACGCATCAGATCTGCTGGGAAGACTCCACGGGACACCAAATCCGCCAGGCTATGTTATGGCGAGATGTAATGCCATTAGTTGGATGTAAACAGCTTTCGAATTTTCATTACGCTTCAATCAGCGCAACACAATTTTCGAATACAACCAAAGCACAACATTTGCGGTTGTTAATCGCACAGCGATACACCTCAATGGAATTCTATGAAAAAAAAACCGATTTTGAACACAAAACCATAGAAGCATTTGGAGGAAGTCAAATACGTGACTGGTTGGAGCTATTTAGTGCTTCATGGGTCACTGGATAAAAGTATTTCCCTATGTGTGGGAATTTTTTGGACAAAAATAGGCCAGAAATGAAAACACTTATAAGATTCCTGAATTAAAACAATATCCATGAAACTGGAATAAAGCATTCATCTAGTCAAACATCACTCAGTGAACATCCAGGAGACATTTAAAAAAAGAACCTGAATTACGTTAGTACAAAATCCAAAAAAAACGACCACACCCACCCCTTCCACTCACCGTTAATATCGTGCTCGGTAAAGTACATCCCGGCATGGTCCCGATCCGCTTCGTAGTGATGAGCTTCCAAGTAAGGCAATACAGTGGAACGTCGTATAAAGTCCCCTTTCAAAGGGGGCACGGGCACGCATGGGCTCGTGGGCTCAGGTGCAAATTTGAACCACCTGAAATCATTTAAACAATTTGATATTCAACAACTCTTAGGAAATGTTTGCGTAGGAGAAAATTACTCATGGATTCGAATTTGTTGCAGACTGAATCGCTTCGTTGGATCCGCCTGCAGAATGTTGGTCAGTAAATCCGCCAGCCTGCTTTCCAGCCAATCAGGCGCCACCCATTCACATCTTCCTATGTTTTCCAACAGTTTGTAGATGTTATCCCCTTCGAATGGGTACAAACCCGTTGTAATGTTGTACCTGGAAGTGTTTTCGATTAGGAAGTGTTATCTGTGAACATGAAACGGCAAGATACATACAGCGTAACTCCGGTGCTCCATATATCCACCTTGAAACCGGAAAAGACTTCGTGCCCATTGGCGATTTCCGGCGGTTGGAACGCTGGTGAGCCTTGTCCGGTGGTGCAGTCGTCATTTGAAGCGAATACGTCTAAGGCCTGATTCGAACAAAAGAATCCATTTTATTCCAATTAAAAACTGCAATTGTATAAATCCTACCTCCGCCACTCCAAAGTCCGAAATCTTCAGAGTAAGATCCAACGTTAGCAGTAAATTGCCCGGCTTAATATCTTTGTGGATGATGCCACACCCATGAAGGTACTCCAGTCCGTCCAACAGTTGTACGAAATAATCATGAGCTTGATGCATGGGAAGCTTCTTTTCCGGAATGGAATCCAACATCTCCTGCAATCCTCCGACGCAGTATTCCATTATCAAATACATCTTCTGCTTTTCTTCATTGTACAGCACATCGAGCAGTTCAATCACATTCCGGTGGTGTAACTTTCGCAGTAGTTTGATCTCACGCCGGACATTCTGCTCTCCGTTTGGAATGCGTCGCAATTTTCGCTTGGTGAGTATCTGCAACAAAACGAACAAAATTAAACTTTTTCCAGCCATTATGCAACAGCCCCAACCCACCTTCACAGCCATTCTGCACAGCGTCTCCGAGTCGAGGACTTCCTTTACCTTCCCGTAGCTTCCCTCCCCGAGGACATCGCCCATCACATACTTCCCGACGAGTTTACACTTTTTCCGCTTCGCCTGATAGATTATGTCGGCGCTGTCCACCCGATTGAACACTATGTGGGCCGGATCGATCGACACCGACAGATCTAACTGTTCGATCTCGTCATCGTCGTTCATCCACTGAACTCCCGACCGTTGACTATCAACCGTCCGGTAGACTTCCTCCAATCCGTACTGGTCCGAGTTTCCATTACTATTCCCCTCATTTATCGAATCTGGATCATCCCCAGCGTAAGCGTACCGCTCTTCTTCATCCCGATGATGCCGCTGCTGCAATTCATCATCATCCTCGGGTTCCGCTTTGGGAGCTAGCATTCCGTTGTTGTTATTCGGCTGCTGCTGTTGCTGTTGGGTTTGCTTTCCACCCATTTTCTCTGACAGGTAGCACATCTCCGACGGGAAGGCAGACTCCACCTCCATAGTCCACGGACCCACCGATCCCTGCGCACTCACCCAAGGACACCACGAACGGGAAGCGCTCGATTTCACCTTCGGTAGTCACACGATAAAAACATTCGAATTTTCAACACTACACACTCCAATCGAGAAGAGCAGCAGGAGACACACACAGAATAAATAAAAACTTCTTTCGCAACAAGCAGACGAGGGCGCGATCCGGACCGAGAAAAACGAACCAGTGTTTAGATAATGCGCCCTACCAGCGCGGATCGCATGTTCCCGATGGCCGAACCGGACTTTTCCACTTCCGACTCGTACGTCCGCACGAATGAGCACAATTTTCACCACAATTTGGCACCCTCTACCAAGTTTTGAGGGGTTTTACCGTCTCTGAAAACGAAATCACACACAACACCAACTTTTCTCAAACGAAAAAATTTACGACCCGGTTGACATTTGGACGAGATTTTTCTTTTGTTTTTGCTTTCTTCTTGCTTTTGCCTTCGGTTGTCGCTGTTTTCGTTTTGATTTCGTTTTTCGTATTTCTGATTGGGGTTTCTGTTCGTCCGTCAGCTGTCAGGTGACCCCTTCAGAAAAAGACGTATGGTGAACACGGTGTTTCGCGAAAACCCATTAATGGGTACACTCAAAAATATAACTAAACATTGATAGATTACAATTTATTCATTTTATGGTTATGCTACATTTATACATTGCTCCGATTAAAATTTCTCTTTAAATTTATACCAACTTCGAATAACAGTGTAAAATTCGTTCAGTGTATTGACTTTTCTGACGTTGCGTTGCCGTTCCCGTTTTTCCCGAGGAGCTCCAGGCTAAACTGTACCAGTTGAAGCAAGAAGAGTGGCCACGGGGTGATCGTCATGCATCTTGCCGGCGGATAATTTCCGAATTTGAACAGGTAATTACGAGTGCTCGGATGGTTTGCAGATGTCCGTTTGATTATAGAATGACCTAACACTTTTTCTATTCTTTGCAGATCTCACCAATTGGTTTCCGCAAGGCAACTAGCATGTCGTGTTGGATAAGATTTGGAAGTGTGAAGACTCAGAACCATTCCGAGAGCCGGTAGATACCCTTGTGCATCCAGGTAAAGTCAAATTAGCGCAGAAACAGATCTTCGATGAGTTACGAATTACAATTATAATTTTAGATAACCAACAACGATGATGATAATGAGGCGGGTCTATCGAGACGGCTAGCCCGAAATGGAACAACTAGCAGGATTTCAGATAGGGGTTTCGTCCAATAATAACGTAATCGCAATCGCAAAAGCTGACCAAGAAGGCCACGACCAAGGCCATAATTGTCCAGACTGGAACGACTTGTGTCGGAGGGCTAATCATGTTCCCCGAATTCATATCAGCCGATGCGGATCTTTACTGTTTATCTTTCAGTTGTTGAAATATAGCTTCGACTCCAACTAACACATGAGTCCAAAGAAATAAATATATTTTACATATTTGTATTGCATTTATTTACCAAACCAACAACAAGCAAATAAAACTGACAGCAAGGGAAGCAACAATAAAAGCTAACACGAATAAATAAACACTATGCATCAAAAGAATAGATGCCCTTTATACATCCCCAGGTATAAACAATTTTTATACTAAGTTAGTAATCTCTCTCTTTATACCGATCTATGCGTCAGGCAGGAGAGTTGCGATTTAGCGTAACTTTTATACTATTTAGATTTGAAATTGTTTTGAGTGTATAAAAAAACACATTTCCGCTAAAAGTGCCCCTCCTCATTTAATTGGTAAACTATGGTTTACTCATAAATGGGTAAATGGGTGGTCTGTCAATAAATGGGTGTTTTTTCATCCATTTTCTTATATTGTGTTTAACGTAAAATGGGTGAAAAAATACCCATTTTTACAAATGGAGGATGCAAGCGCTCGTTGATGTAAAAATGTTTCTAAAACATTGAAAATAAATGCAGGTGTTCCGCTCAAATTTTTCACGAAACATTATAATACAAATTATCCATTGTATTGACTTATCCGTAAGCATCTCCAACGTTTTGGATTCTAACATTTTCCGGAGATCGTCTATTTTCGCCAAATATGCTGCGGACAGTAAAGGCCCAAGCGCAATGGCAGCGGAAGCGGAACGGCAACGGCAGCAGAAAAGCCCGATCTGAGTAAGCCTACTTGTCGGATTGAAAACTTGTTGAAACTAAATCGACTACGGTTAAGGCCCAAACGCAATGTGGGCGGAAGCGGAACGGAAACGGAAAGTTTGACAGTTGTCACTAATGACATCAAGATGCCTAACCGAAGTCGATTTGGATCTAACTAGTTTTCAATCCAACAAGTAGGCTTACTCAGATTGGGCTTTTCCGCTGCCGTTGCCGTTCCGCTTCCGCCGTCATTGCGCTTGGGCCTTTAGGCATCTTGATGTCATTTGTGACAACTGTCAAACTTTCCGTTTCCGTTCCGCTTCCGTCCACATTGCGTTTGGGCCTTAACTGTTTGCATTCCCAATGAGCCAGTGACGGAAATGAGACGATAAAATTTCGAAGTGTTTTTTCACCCATTAATGGGTAAAAAATATACCCATTATTCAACCATGAACTGATTCTTTAAATGGGTATTTTTCACCCATTTTATGATTTCAAAATTCCCCCATGTTTTGACAGCTGCATACATGGTTTGAAAATGGGTATTTTTTACCCATAAATGGGTTTTCACGAAACACCGTGAAGGTGAACACGGTGTTTCCCGAAAAACCCATTAATGGGTATAAAAAACCCATTTTCGCTAAAAGTGCCCATCCTTATTTAATGGGTAAACTATGGTTTACTCATAAATGGGTAAATTGGTGGTCTGTCAATAAATGGGTGTTTTTTCACCCCTTTTCTTTAATTGTGTTTACCGTAAAATGGGTGAAAAAATCAGAGTGGCCAGACATACCGATTTATCGGTAGTCCTACCGATTTTTGGGATGCCTACCGATTCACAGACGGAAGATTCAAAACTACAGATTTTTCACTTTTCCTACCGAGAATCACAGATTTTAAGGCTGTGTTCCATTTGGTAAATTTTCACTTAAACTTTACTCTTCGAAAATAAATTATAGTGTTCGAAAATTTCTGTTGTTGATCGTCCGATTTTTGAGAAGGTGTTTGTCGATATTGATGGTTTTGCTCCTCCGTTTCTGACAACATTAGAACACAGAGAACAGATTTTGAGGCTCGAACTAAATTTCTGTAAAAAAACTTGTGTAAATATTCCTATTCCATTTAAGCGCCACCAACCAACGCCGACTTCCCCACTTAAAAACCCTCTTTGACAACATGATGGCGCTGGCGTTGCACAACTTACACTAGACACTAAGTGCCGGTAGTGCCAAGTGGTAATTTTCATCCGAAAATTTATCGATGCTAGCGCCAAATTGGTCGAAAGTGGAAAATTTATAGAGGAAATCAGGAGATGATTGCGCCACGTAATGGCAACGTTCCCACTTATCTTTACACAAGTTTCTGGTGGAAGTTGGACGTCTGTTCTCTGTGATTAGAAGGAGAAAAGAAGACAAACTAGTCAAAAGTAGTTAAAAGTGAACTGGCCGTTGGGCACTTTTTTCTTATCGTGTACGAAAGATTTTTTTTACGTTTAATCGACTTTCTCTGCCTGATGATATTTTCCGTTTCTCCCTTTTTTGATTTCATATTCCGTTCGTCCCTTTCGTCCTACTCGAACTTACTCGTTATTCTTAAATGTTATTGTTAACATTCGCATATTCTTGAGGGGTACGAATTACTCATATCATTCAACCGATGGCTGTAGGACGGATGTCTTTCTGTTTACCTTGTGTTTAAAACTAATAGAATGTCGGACACCTAGGAAATCGTAAAGGAAGTACACCAGTATTGGCCATAGGTTCCTATTTTAGCCACACCTCAGAAAACCGATTAAATTGCAATATTCGTGCATCTTGGGGTCAAAATGTGTATGTACACCGATGAATATGATTTGTACCAACAAACTTAACGCAGCTGAACATCTCAAACTTGTAAACAACGTGAAATATCGTCAAAAGGTGGCCAAAATAGGAACATTGCCAATACTGGTGCGTTTACCCTGTTAAAAAATCGGTTCGAAAGTCCAAAATTGCACGTAATTTGTTTTCATCAACCCCCCCTCCGCTCACAAACGTTTCAAATTTTGGGAAAACCTTCTTAAGACGGCCTACCGATAACTACCGATAAAAGTTTTGAGAACCTACCGAAAAAAAAAAATAATCTGGCCACCCTGGAAAAAATACCCATTTTTACAAATGGAGAATGCAAGCGCTCGTTGATGAAAAAAACTTTCTAATACATTGAAAATAAATGCAGGTGTTCCGCTCAAATTTTACACGAAATATTATAATATCATATTGGATAATTTGTATTGACTTATCCGTAGAGGCCCAAGCGCAATGACGGCGGATACGGAACGGCAACGGCAGCGGAAAAGCCCAATCTGAGTAAGCCTACTTGTCGGATTGAAAACTAGTTAGATCCAAATCGACTTCGGTTAGGCATCTTTATGTCATTAGTGACAACTGTCAAACTTTCCGTTTCCGTTCCGCTTCCGCCCACATTGCGTTTGGGCCTTAAGCTTCTCTAACGTTTCGGATTCTAACATTTTCCGGAGATCGTCTATTTTCGCTAAATATGCTGCGGACAGTAACTGTTTGCATTCCCCATGAATCGGTGACGGAAATGAAACGATGAAATTTCGAAGTGTTTTTTCACCCATTAGTGGGTAAAAAATATACTAATTATTCAACCGTGAACTGGTGCTTTAAATGGGTATTTTTCACCAATTTTATGATTTCCAAAATCCTCCATTTTTTGACAGCTGCATACATGGTTTGAAAATAGGTATTATTTTTACCCATTAATGGATTTCCAGGAAACACCGTGAAAGTGATCCGTATCAGTCCAGCGTTGCCAGATTGTTTTCAAGCTTGTCGGCATCAAATGTTAAAAAAAAAATCGGTATTCATCGGTATTTACTCGGGTATTTACTGCTTTTTTAAATTTTATATTTTTGTCGGTTTTGAAGGTGAAAATTCAAATTTTTGGAATAAGAATGGAACATTTACAACAGTAATGGGAAAATATTTCCAGGGAATATTTGAATTTGCAACTGAAGGAAGCCGAAAAAACTTACAGAAAGCGAATAAATAAGTTCTTTTGACGGAAGCTTAAAGAAATTGGTAAGTTCGGGGTGCTTCCAAGAAAAATCATGGTTAACTTCTGGCGAAAATTTAAAGGAACTTTTGGAAAAAAAATCGGATTGCACATCTATTGGAAGCCAGAAAAGTTTCAGACATCGAAAGCAAAATCCAGACGCAGCCATTTCCAGGGGAAGCCAGAAGAAGCTCGGAAAAATCT